CGGCAGGTGAGTTCTGCCCACGATAAAGGTAGTGACCACAGCGGCTTCACAGCGGCGCCCAGCTGAGCGCCTTTGCCTGCGTGGCCACAGCACGGCCTCGCCCAGCTCCGCGAGCCCAGCTTCCGCTGGGGGCCACTTCCGAGTCAGGACACGACGCCCTGAGCACGGGGGGCCTGTCTGAGCAGAGGGGAGCCCCCCCAGCCCCCCTCCCGCCGTCCCAGCCGAGTGGCTCCCCCGCCCTCGGCCACCGTGCAGGCCCCGTCCTGTTACCGTGAGCGATTTCTTCAAATAGTTCTCTCCAGACTTTGCAAACGATGTCTTCTCACAGAGCAGCGCTTTGAACGCAGGCCCAGCACAGAGGTGGGGCGTGAGTCGGGGTGCCTGTCCTGGGAGGTGGGACCCAGTGGTCCCCTGCCACCGTGGGGGACCATGACCACCGAGTCAGCACCGCGGACAGCGCCCGGGGTGGGCATCCTGGCCTGAGCCGCCCAGGGAGGGAGGCAGGCCTCCAGACACATGGTCATTGCGGGCACCAGGACCGCGCCCCACGGGCGGCGGGCTCCGGGGCCCTGCTGCCCCTTCTGTGCTGTGACCTGAGGGGCGGTGCCGTGGCGGCGGCGGGGTTTGCCTTGGGGTTACCTTGCGAAGTGCATGCTGTCCTCTGGTTACACAGGGCGGTTAGTGGGAGGGACACCCAGCTCCCCACCCACCCGCCTCCCCCCAGGACGGGGCCCCGGGGCGTCCTCGGCTCTGGGGCAGAGACATGGAGGACGGGTTTTGTTCCTGACCCCGACGTCCCGACGGGTCCCCCAGGAGCGCTATCGGAAACCCGCACCCTGGTCACCACGGTGTCCTGTCTCCCAGACGGCCCGGCGAGGCCCAGCTCCCCACCTGCAGGTGCCTGACCGCAGTGGGGCGGGCGGGGGCATGTGCAGACCTGGTGTGCGCCCGGGGCCACTGGGACACCGGGCCTCCCCTGTCACCAATGCTGCCCCCCCCCACACACACACACGCTCAGGCATCCCTTCTTCCAGAAGCTTCCCCTGCCTGTGGCCACCCCACCCTGCCCGCCCCCCCACCCCCGGGACCCTATGCTGCTTCCACAGTGCAGCACCCTCACTGGGGCCCCCACACACCCCAGGCGCAGGGTGGGGGCCACGGGCAGAGGCTGAGACTGAGACCCGGCCCCCAGGACCCGTGTCTGGTCCCAGGCTGGGCTGCACACCTGGGCCCCAGGCGGGTCCCACAGGCCCCTCCTGTCCCTGCTAACCCACACACAGCGGCGACACCGGGGACTGCTAACTGCCAGCCGCGGGCGCCCCTGTCAGAGTCGCTCCGAGTCTGTGTTCTGTCACCCGGCCAGTCAGACGTCCCTGCACACTCATGTCATCGCCCCGTGTGATTGAACGGCTTCTCCGCGGCACCTCGGGGACACGGGTGCGCCCAGGGCCGCCCTCTGCTGCGCCGTCTGCCGGGGCCGAAGGGCCCGGACTGCGTGCAGGACACGGCCACGGTGGCCGCGGCCTGTGTCTGGGGGTCGGTGGGCGTCTTGGGGGCTGGCGCCCGAGGGCGGCGTGGCTGCCCGGTCTGGCTCCGAGAATAAACAGGACGTGACCAGACGTGACCCGGCGCGCAGCAGCCGGGCGGGTCTGTGACCCGTGGCCCTGGGCCCTGCCTCCCCGGCCCTGCTGTCCTGGGGGCCCCAGGGCTCCCTGCCGCGCCCCGTCTGAGCCCCAGAGTCACAGATCCTGACCCCGGGGGTGTCCCTGTTCCGTCCAGCTCAGCCTCGGCCTGGGGCTCGCACCCCTCACGGAGGTGCCCAGGGCCCGGAGGACAGAAACCCCGACCTTGGCCTGGCCCCCGCACCGTGCGTGTCTTGACAGTGACAGCAGACGGTCCCGCCCACCTCCTCCCCCACCCACCCCTGCCGCCACCTCAGCCTGGAGCCGCCTAGACCCTGGGGGGCCTGGCTCTGCCTCCTCCCCCCCTCCCCGAGGCCCCGGTTCCTCTCCGGGACGACGGGGAGCTGGCCAGGCTCCCTTAGGCCAGGGTGGGGGCTCAGCGCTCCAGGGCGGTCTGGGTGGACGGACAGACTCCTTGAGGGAGAGCTTCACGGTGCCGTGCGGCAGCCCCATGGCTGCCCTCTGAGCCCCCTCGGCAGGGCTGGGCCCCCCGAAGGGAGCAGGCGGCACGGCAGGGCCGGTGGGGGCGCGGAAGCGGCCTCAGACCAGCCGGTTCTCCTGGACACGGAGCGTCCAGGCGGCTGGGCGGCCGCCTGGGCAGCACCCGATCGCGTCTTCAGCCGGGGGACCTGCCGCCGAGCGTCTGAGGACACTGCCTCCTCCCGGCCCCCCAGGGCCTCGGGTTTCCCTGGGCCTCCATCCTGGGCCTGTCGGCCGCCGCCCTGCCCACCCTCACCCTTCAGCACGGACCCCGGCCTCCAGGCGTCCTGGGCGGCCCCTGAGCCTCCAGGGACGGCGGGCGTGGGCATCTGCGGGCTCCCCCAGGGGGCAGGGACAACGTCCAGCCCGGGGATGTGGTCCCTGCACAGGGCGGGGAGGCTGCGGGGGCGGCTGGGGGCGAGACGCAAGGGGCAGCCGGGTCTGCAGGAGCCCCCCAGCGCCCGGCACTGAGGGGTGAAGATGGGGGGGCCCTGGTGGAGGGGCAGCCGCGTCACCTCGGGAACTCGGACAGAGGGGCCACGGGGGCCTGGCAGCGGAGCCCCGCGCCTTGTCCGCTGGTAATCGGCGAGAAAACGGCAGGGGGTGGACGCGTGTCCCGAGCACGGGGACGGGGGCGCTCACCTGGGTCGGGCACCCCCACGGGCTGGGCTCGGGGCGGTGTTCCCTCCAGGGCACCGGGCGCTGGGTGTCCCCCCCAGAGCTGCGGCCAGGCCCCGCCCCCGGCCGGGAACGGGACTGCGTTTGGAAATGAGCGAGCACGGCCTCTCCAGGCTGGACGACACGGACCCTCCCCCACGGCGACCAGGGAGCGTGTGAGAAGAGGGGGGGACGAGGGGCCGCCTGCCTGAGGGGCGTCCTGCACGGAGAGCCCCTCCCCCGGGTCCAGCTCAGGTGGTGGCCACGCGCGGGGCAGGTGCTCGCCACAGCTGGGTGGGTGCCGACACCCCAACGCTGCTCTGTCAGTGCCTTCGTGGGGGGAGGGGGCGCAAGGCTGGCTGTTGTCTTCGTTACTTAGCGACCAGAGCTGCAGGAGCCCCAGGGGACGGACCTCAGCCGGCCGCCGACGCCAGCCCGCCCGCTGCAGGTGTCTGTGGGTGGGCGGCCTCGAGGACCAGGGACAGCGGAGCAGCCCCGTCAGCCTGCACAGCAGCCGGGACGGCGCCCACGCAGCTGCCGGTCTGTGAGTCCGGCTGTCAGTCACGGCAGCCACCTGCCGCCTGCGGTCGCGGCCCCGCCCAGACCCGGGGGAGTGGGGGGGGCGGGGTGGGAACCGCCATCGGGTGTCTGAGGCTCTAACCGCGGCTGTCACCCGGAGAGCGTCACCTCGCTGACCCGGACGCCTCCCTGCGCTGCATTCGCTCATCTGCGTCCTCATTTCCCTGTCTCCGCGTTTCTGCCCTGCTCCCGGAGGCACTGTGCGATTTTGTGTGTGATTAGCGGGCGTGCGTCAGAGTCCGCAGCCCGAGCCTGCAGGGCGGTACGGGGGCGCCAGCCTCGGGGCGAGGGAGGGGCCCCCACGGCCCAGGAGGCCCTGCCGCCCCACCCGCGCGGTCCCCACGCCCACCTCTCGTGCTGGCCACGTGCACAGCGGCCTGCACCCCGGGCTGGGCGTGGGTTTTCTGGGGAGAGGGGCGTCTTGGGGGGCACAGGACGGCCCCTCTGCTGGGAGACTGGCCCCCCCCAGCCTCGGGGACAGTGCTCTTCCGGGGACGCAGGGACCAGACGGGGTGAGGAACCCAGCCGACCCCGCTGGGTGGTGCTTCCCTTCGCACTAGACGAGCCCCCTCTCTGCACGCTGGTCCCGGAGCCAGACCAGGGCCACCGGGCTGGTCCCCTCCCCGCAGGGTCCTGGGGGCGGTGAGAATGGGGAGCAGGGGCACCGCCCATGGGGGACGGACAGCAGGGGTGACGGGCACGCCCAGCTGGCCCGTGCGCTCCTGTGCGTGTGTCTGCACGGGGTCCGAGTGCGTTTCAGGAGCACCTCCGTGTGTGTGCCTGTGTGCGTGTGTGTGTCTGCTCCGGCCACACGTGCACTGCATCGGCGCCTCTGTGGGGGTGAGCTCGTGTCCACAGGGCACCTGCACACGCGTGAGGCCTCTGCGTGTGTCTGTGAGTCTGCGTGTCCCTGGGCCTCGGCGTGTTCGCGGCCGGGCCCCGCCTGCTCGAAGCTGTGCCCGTCGGCCAGGAGTGTGGCTCTGAGCCTCCTGGAGCTGGGGGTCTCTCTGGAGTCTGGGGTCTCTGTGTGTCTCTCTGAGTGCCTGTGAGTGTCTGTGTGCCCAGGTGTGGGCCGCAGCCTGTGGGGGGAGAGGAGACCGGGACTGCCCGGCGTGGAGGGTCTCGGGAGGGTCCCCCGCTCTTGGCCTGCGGAGGCCTGCGCTGGCTCCCCCACCCTCGCCGGTGTGGACGTGGGGGCCCCGGGCCCAGCTCAGACACAGACCATGCGCTGGGAGCTGCCCAGGGTCCCTGCATCAGGTCTCCTGGCAGCCGACAGGCCCCCCGACCAGGATGTGGCCTTTTATTTCCGGGTGACGGCGACGAGGCCACATCTAATTTCCTGTCCGCCCTGGCAGGGCCGTGAGCGAACGCCACCCCGCGTAGAAGGGGGGCTCGCCGGCCCGACCGGGTGCGCAGCTTCTACGGGGCGTGTCCCCGGCAGGACCGCCCGAGCTGCCGAGGGCAGCGGCCTCCGTGGGCCCCTCTGGGGGGGGGGGCGGGGAGCGGGCTCTGGGCGCGTGTCCAGCCGCAGGGCCCGGCGGCTGGTGGCCCGCCTCCAGGGCCCGGCCGCTCAGCCCGCATCTGTGTGTCTCTCGCCCGCAGGTCAGCTGGCCGCCGGCACCTGTGAGATTGTGACCCTGGACCGGGACAGCAGCCAGCCCCGGAGGACGATCGCCCGGCAGACGGCTCGCTGTGCCTGCCGCAAGGGGCAGATCGCCGGCACCACGAGAGCCCGGCCCGCCTGCGTGGACGGTGAGAGCCCGGGGGCCCCGGCACGGCTGGGGAGGCCGCACGCACGTGGGTGTCCCCGCGATGCAGCCACGTGCCCCCCAACCCGCCACAGAGCGCTCTGTGGGTCCGGCCTCAGGCCGGACTGTCCCGTCTAGCACGCCAGCCCCTGCGGGCAGTGCTGGCCTGTGGGTGTGGGTGCGGCGTCCAGGGTGGCGGGGAGCCGGGTCCCCAATGAGCTCGGGCACATGGACGGGCCCAGGGGCCACGACCCACGGTGCGACCGCGGGCAGAGGGGAGCGAGGGGCGAGCCTCCTGCCGGACGGGCCGAGCTGGGAGCCGGTGTGTCAGTCACTCGTCGCCTCTGGCTCATCACCAGAGCTGGGGGGGGGTCTTGTGGCCAGGGGGGGCGCTGTCACCGTGGGGGAGGCTTGCTGGGGGCCTGGGTGGGGCGGGAAAGGCCCCCCAGGAAGGGATCAGTGGAGCCTTGAGGCCACCTCAGAAGTGGGGACTCACGGACCAGGGACCTGGCCGGAGTCATGGCTGAGCCTGTCCTCAGGCCGTCCAGGGACCTGGCCGAGCTATGGGTCGGCCTGGGGCCCCCCACGGCGGGGAACTCGGACCCTGGGCCTCCCGCAGGAGGGGAAGAGAAGAGGCTCCGGACTGGAGGGAACGGGCCGCCTGGCTCCCTGTGCACCCGGCCCAGCCTGGCGGAGCTGCGCCCACAGAGCCGGGTGACCGCCAGTGGTCTGGGGGCGGGGGGCTCACAGGCCCAGCCTCTGCCTCCCCGTGGTCTCCTCGGCCAGGTGCCGCCAGCCCTGAAGGGCCCTGGGGACCGCGGGGTCACTCGGGAGACTGTGGACGGAGGCCGACCTTGCCGTTGGGGGCGACACTCTCGGGGTCTGGGACACGTCCCTGCGGCTGGGTTTCTCGTCTTTTTCCTCGATGAGGCCCATCGAGGGCGCGTCGGCCCCTGACGCTGCCGGAAGGTCGGTCAGGCGTGCCGGGTGGCACTTCCTCTGTCCTGTCCGCAGCTGCCCGCCCCGCCCAGGTCCGCTTTCCTCCCACATCCCGGGCGGCCGCCGTGGAGCTGGCGCTGCTTCTGGGCAAACGTCACCCGTCCCCGTTACAGACCTCCCTGCCACACCTGGTAGCCGGCACGCCACGGGGCGGGGGGTGCGCGACCACACAGCCCTCGCCGCCCTCTGGACGCCAGCGCCCACTCTGCCCGCCCAGCTCCACGGCCGGTGTGGGCCCCGGGGGGCGGCCATCTCGGCTCTGGGCGAACGGAACTGACTCTCCCCACTCCCTGCCGCAGTCCTGCTCCGGTGACTGTGCCGGCTCCCGGGTTCGACGCTGTTGCTGAACCCACCGGTTCTTCCCCGGCCGGTGGGCGAGAGGCACGCGCAGGCTGGTGCTCGGAACCTGCTACCTCCCCCCCCCCCCCCCGTCCTCATTAGCCCCGGCAGCCCACGGGAGCGTGGGGTCACTGCGGATGACTGACGGAATCTGGGTCTGGGCATCTGAACCCGGGGCCTCTCCCCTCCCCCCCAGACCTGGCCGGTGCCCCAGGAGCCGGCGCCCAGGGACCCAAATTAAAACCCGGCCATTTCCGAGGGAGGCCAGACCGTGAGTCAGCTCTCCGTCTTTGCGCCGTGGGCACTTTCCGGGCTGCCAGCTAATTTAATTTTTGCTTTTCTGTTGTGTTGCGCGGTGTGCATAACAAGTCTGCCCGTGCTCCGGCCGCGTCGGCTGGAGAGCAGGCCCCGGCCGCGCCAGGTGGGTGGGGGCGCGGGGGGCGGGCTGCAGGCCGGGCGGTGCTCGCCGACCCCCTGCGCTCGGTAGCCGTGCGAGCCGGGGAGACAGGGCGCAGCTGCCGTGGTAATTGGCTCGCTGCTCGCTCATTAGCTCGCTCGCCTGTTCGTTAGTTCAGATGAGGTGCACACGCTCAGGTGCGGGGACGGCGTGAGGGGGACTGGTTCCTGACACACCTGACCCCGCCCGCAGGGCAGGCGGGCGTGCGGGGCCCCAAGGCTCAGGCACGGCTTCCTGCCCAGGGCCGGCAACGCTGCACGCAGGGGCAGCGTCTCCCCTGGGTGCTGGGGGACGAAGAGGGGCTCACCAAGGGAGCTTCTCTTCCTGAAGGGAGGGGCTGGAGGTGGGAGGGGACTCCCGGCGTGTCCCCGAGCCCAAAGCATTTCTGGGTGCACCACTCCCCAGCCTGTGTGCGGCGGCCTGGCGCGGTTCCAGCTCGGACACCCTCGGGAACAGGGGTCCCCACCCCAGCCCCGCCCCCACCCCGGGAGGAAAGGGCTCTGACCTGGTGGGAAGGACGAGGAGAGAGAGGGGAGGGGGCAGCACACGTTTTGGGGGAACGCTTTTATGTGGGTCAGCACTTGGGACCGTGCGCATTTGCGTGCGTTCAGAAACTCGGGCACATCCCAGATGCCGCCGTGTGGCCCCCACTCTGAGCTGTGGGTGAGGCTGGGCCAGCCTCGACCCCCATGACCTCCCCGACCTCCCCGAGGGGGTGCCCGGGCTCTCTGCCACTCCGCAAGACCTGTCCCGCCGGGTGGGCGGCGGCCACGTCTGAGAATCACGGTGAGGTTTCCAGAGATTCGGTGAGCTCCTTGTTAAATGCGGTCCCGACTGGAAGTTCAGTGACGAGAACGCGGCCGTCAGCAAATGACCGTGATGACAGAGGTGCCGCCGGAAGACGCAGGGAGACGAGAGGCAGCTGAGCGCGAGTCGACGGAAGGAAGCGTTAGAACGGACGTCGAGGACGCGGGGCCCGGAACGCCCCCCCCCCATGTCGCCCGGACCGAAGGCCGGCTCTTGGGGGCGCGAAGTTTCCGCTGGGCTGGTGGGGGGCGCCCCCTGGCCCAGGAGTGAGAGAGGGGACTCCCCTCTCTCATCACCTGCTCTTCAGGAATGCAGCAGGTTACGAGGGACCCTGCGCACACCCGTGCCAGCGAATTGGGTGACGCAGGTGGGCGGGACACGCCCCCACAGACCCACAGGGTGGCTCAGGAGGGGGCAGGGGTCTGACCAGGCCTGGGCACAGAGTAGCGAGCGCAGTGACCCCCCCAGCCAGAGAAGCCCGGGGCCGGGCGGCTCCCTGGAGAGTCCTACCTGGTTTGGAGAGGCACGAACACCCGTTCTTCCCCCGTCCTTCCAAACGAGCGGAAGAGGAGGAGGCACTCTCGAACCCGTGCTGCGGGGCTGGTGTCACCCGGGACCAAGAGCGTTAGACCGAGGCAGCGGGAGGACGCCACACGTCTGAGGGTCTGAGGGGCGGAGACCAGACCCTCAGGGACACACCCGCGGACCGAATCCAGTCGCCGCCGCCGATGCACGAGGTGGCTGGCCGCAACCACGCGTGCTTCGTCTCCAGGGGACGCGGCAGAATCGACACGCGGAAGCCAGCGCAGGCGAGAATAGCAGAACGAAGAACCAATCCCGTCCTCCCCGGGACAGCTGCAGAGTGAACCTTCCGCAGAGACGAGCATGTTTTCCCGATCAGAACTCGGGGAACGAGGGAAGGAGAGAGCGCAGTGAGACGGGGCGTCTGCGGACACGTCAGGCCACGTCGCCCTCGGTGGGGGGGGACCGGTGCTTCCATCCTGGGACCCGGAACAGGCGGCCTGGGCCCCCCACCCTCCGGCGTGGCCCTGGGGGTCCGGGCGGAGCAGCCGGGCGGGAAAAGCCAATCACAGCCGCCCTGACGGGAGAGGAAGACGCCAGCCTCCCCAGAGGCCGCGTGACCGTGGGCACCGAGCGTCCAGGGAACCCACGCCCTCAGAGCCCTAGTGAGGGAGTTCGGAGCGGCCGCAGGATGCCCGATCAATGTGCAAGATCAATCGCGCTTCTCCACAGGGGTGGCAAACGGTCTCAAGGAAGTGGTTCCGTTTATAATGGCCTCAAAAGGAAGAATGGACTCCAGAATAAACTGAACAAAAGAAACGACAGATTTGCCCTGGCTGGGGTGGCTCCATGGACTGAGCGCCGGCCTGCGAACCAAAGGGTTGCAGGTTCGATTCCCAGTCAGGGCACATGCCTGGGTTGCAGGCCGTGACTCCCAGCAACCGCACATTGATGTTTCTCTCTCTCTTTCTTCCTCCCTCCTTTTCCTCTCTAAAAATAAATAAATAGAATTGAAAAGAAAGAAAGAAACGTCAGCCTCGTACACAGGACGGAGCCAGGGCGGAGTTAGCCCGGGAGCCCTTTCCTGCCCGGCTAGCCCGAGGCCATCTCCCCGCCACAGCGGGGTCCCCCCAGCCAGCCCGGGGGCCCGGGCACGGGGACCACCTGGCTCCTCCAGTGTCTGCAGGACACGGCCCAGCGCCGGGGCTGTGACAGGTGCCCGGGGGCCATCTGTCACTGAGTCCTGACACCTGCATAACACCAGGCGTTGCAACGGTCGTAACTGCCGGAGCTCACTGCCGGAGCCGGGGAGCCGGCGGCCCTGGGGGGCCGGGGGGGCGTGGGCCCCGCCCCCCCGCAGCTCCTGTCCGAGAGTGACGCCGTCCGGGCTCTTCATAATCACTCGAGTGCCCGGGACGTGCTGGGCTGATCACGCCGCCACCTGCTCTCCCACATTCTAATCAGCCCCTGAGGGTCCCCGCCTGTGCGAGAGGGCGGTGTCGGAGGCGGCTTTCAGGACACGCTCCCCGGGAGCCCGGGGGCTGATGCGGCCCAGCGTCGGGGGGGGGGCGCCCTGATTGCGACCGCGGCAGCGGGGACCCTCGTGACTCTGCTCTGGGAGGGGTGCGGGGTCCTGCACTGACCGCCAGCCGGATCTGCGGGCCTCTCTGTCCTGCGCTGCCCCCGTAGCTCGGGGACATCACAGATGTCCCCATCGGGGGCGGTGAGACCTGTCACACTGGGCCCCCTCCCCCAGGGGAGGGTCGTGCTGTGGCCTCCGGGAAGGGCGCCAGAGTGCGCCTGGGTCCGGAGCCCCTGCCTCTCTGGGCGGGGTCTGGATGCAGGTGCTTCTAACGGCCCCCCACCCTGGCAAAGCCCCA